CAGTGCCCCCCTGTACCGACAAGCGTGCTTCTCCATGATACTGACTGACCACTGTTAATACATACTGTTGTAAAAACAGAATGTTCAGCCAAGTGAATTACATTATTTGAAAATTTAAAAAATGAATACATGTCATAAGTAAATGTCTTTACACTGATACAGAAACAACAGTCCTGATCCAGAAAAAATACAGATGACATTACATTTTAAGCTAGTGTTTTTCATCAAATTGTTTTATTTGTAACTTTAGCACATTTTGGCAGAAACAACTGCACTCAAAAAGAGTTTTGTATGAGTTTTGTATGACTGACTCGTTTAAAAGTATAAAAACTACTGACTTACATCAATTGCCCTTATATAAGTGTTGCAGTGTTAACCAGGGAATTTGTCCATTCCGATGGTATGAAAGTGTCTACCTGCAAACTCTCCTTGGCAAGGTAATTTAATAGCATAACCCTTACCATTTGAAATAAAAACAAAACAATAAATAACTCAACTATAGAATGAAAAGTACCCCACATAGTTTTCTATAACATAGCTCTGCCCATTCAGAGTAGTATATCAGCAGTGTTGGAGTGAAGGAACGTTGATACAGGTAGTTATTCAGGTTTGGTTCCAGGACTTGTTTGTAATAGCCAAGAGTCTCCATATGTCTCTTATTTTACTCTGTGTGATTATTACAGACTACAAACAAACCAACATAAAGGAAAACCATGCAAGTCTGTCCCTTTTACTCCCAGAGGCTTTACCTACTAATAGCATGAAAAATAACAGATACTACAACCAAAATTTAAAGGTCGAAGGCTGCATATCTTCACTTTTCAAGCTGCTTTACATAAAATACAGCAAATTGAAAGTAAGCATGTTTTTTTTCTTTGCATCCCAAGAGAATAATAAATTTTAATCTGTATTTAAAATTTAATGTAAACACACAGGCTGAATACATAGTTAAATGGGTTGGGATGAATTTAAAAGTGCTCTCAAGGTGTTGCTGTGGTATATGTGAGGAAAAAGTACCCTCCAAACACCTTAGTGGGATGAATATACGTGTCAAGTCTTGTAAAGTAAAACCTTCTAAAATTAAAAGTAATGTGGATTTTGGAAAATCCAGAACCTTTGAGCAGAAGTTATAATGTGCAAACTTTGAGGGAATTTGTTTAATGACTGCTATAAAATGTTTGCCAATTAACACAAGTTTCAAACTTGCTGTCACTAACAAAATATTCACTTTATATTCTTTCATTAATAAACGATTTCATCATCCCTCGAGTGTTGTACAATTGTCAATTGCAAAATCAGTACATACATATACATACTACGTTTTATAGTAATGAAGTACAGTAGGTTCACATTTTCTAAATTGTTTAGCCAGTCCTAAAATTAAGTGGGGCAAAGTTTATATCTTTTTTTGTCAGATAATTTACAAAATAATCAGATTGTATTAAGAAAGGCCAGTGATGTTTCATAAATGCTTAATCTTTGAAGGTTTGCCAGGGTACCAGTTATTTTTATATTGGGATATAAAAATTGTGGTGACAACTACGGGTATTGTTGGATACCAAAATGAAAGGTGAGTAAGTGTGTGTGATTCAGAAGAGCACATGGAAGCATCTGCTTCCAAGTTCAGTATTAACAGGTAAGTTCAGAGCAGACATCCAGATTGTAACAGAAGACGGTGTGATCTTGATGTTTCACCACAGCTGTTCTTCTGTGGGGGGGTGAAGTGAAGACAAATGTTGGTCCTTCCAGGCACATCTTCGTAAAGTAAAACTAATTGACTTGTAGTTTCTAGATGACCAAAACCCATTTTCACTAACGATTTTTAATGCATATTAACTACAGGATCCTGAAAAAACTCCCTGGCTCCTTTATGCAGCACAAATAAAATTAATCAATTGTTCTATTTGGTGTTATGATCTACTGATATTTCTAAATACTAACTACAAGCATTAAAATATTTAGAAGTGACTCAACGTTAAGTGGGGACCTACTGTATTTCCAATAAGAAACAAAGGAAATAGGGCTTAATGGGAATGGACAGGACGTAAATATTTCCTGAAGGATATTGTTTTATAAGAATCAATATATTTGAAGAGTGATAGTGACTGGAACATGACGACGTATGTCTAGAGTGTGTACAATCACGTTTTAGGTGCAAAAACACAATGATTAACAATCCATTAACAATCCATTAAGCTGAGCACTTAAATGTTTGAAACGCACACAAAATAATAATTCCTTCCAGTAAAATTGCTTTACAGGTAATGGAAACACAAAGGTGTAGCCCCCACCTGGATGGCAAAGCTAGTGGGGAGGAGACAACAGTGATGAAGTCAATTCAAAGATGGGGATTATTAGGAGCCCATGATTGGTAAAGGCCAGGGGAAAAATTGGCCAGGACACTTTTCAACAATCACCCTTGGATTTAATGGCCACAGAGAGTCATGATTTCGGTTTTACGTCTCATCTGAAGGACAGCGCCTTTTTTACAGTATAGTATATTATTAGACATCAGGACCTACGCAGACTGCATGATGAGTGTCTCCTACTGGTTCCACTAACACCTCTTCCAGCAGCAACCTTTGCTTTCCCAGGAGGTCCCCCATCCAGGTACTGACCAGGCTCACACCTGCTTTGCTTCAGTGGGCTGCCAGTTGTGAGTTGAAGGGTGACATAGCTGCTGGTAGCTTGGTGTGTGAATTATGAATATTTTCAAACATTATACTCATTAGACATTAAACATAATATTTAAAATTGTAATACCTTTAATGTTTAGTGAATTGTGTATGTATACTGCATATGAAAATGAAAGCAACACACAATTAAACTTTTATGTACAGTATAATATATGCCATACATAGTGTACATGATATGTATATGTATATAATAGTGTATATAATATGCCATAAATAGTGTACAAAGGTGCACTAATTATGGCACAATTCAGAGGATGTAAAGTCAGAGCATAGAAAAGGTTTAAAAAACCTCTCAAACATATAACTATTCTCTTATAACCATGTATCTGTAATAATACTGATATAATGCAAAGTTTTATAGTAAATTCATTTAAATATATTTGCACTTCTGTTTTAAGGGTGGATTTTAGATCCTTTTGATGTAACATCAGGAAATTTTCGTGCCCACAGTCACATAAAGTCAATGGCATAAAAGTGAGGAAATGTTGAGTGGGGACCCACCTATAAAGAATAGCTTCCCCTAAACTGACTGGAAAAAAAAGATTATACAAGTTTACCTGAAAGTGAAAATCAAGGTTGAAAAGAAGATATCCATTACAATGCATTCCTCTTTCCTTTACTGTTTATACCATCTTTAAAAGTTAAGCTAATTTTTGATTTTGGAGTAACACCTTCACACTTCTAAACATGTTTGTCTCTCTATAAGCATTTATTTGTAATGCTTCTGGACACCAACGTTCAAGTGTGCATCAAGATAGATACAAGGCTGTTAGACTATAAACATTAAAAGTCATTACATTATTAAAGACTGAATTCCAGCTGAAGAAAATAATAAAAACTGCAAGGATATTGATTATTTCCAAATTGATGTTATCGTCAGAACATTCTTGCAGAGCACAGGTTTCAGGAGACGCTGGTCTCAAAAAATAAAACATCCAGGGTAGGTTGTAAAATTAAATGAATCTGCCACAAAATTCCAGTTATGACCTTCACCCTTCAAAGTACTGCTGAAGTGGGAAGCAATAAAGTATGAATCAAGTGTCAGTGAAATCTGGAGGCAATTCACTTAAAATACTGTACCATGCAGTGCAGTTCGCCTAACAAACTACTTTTATTCTCTGCGTTTGTGTCTGGTGACTGCTTGACACTGCCCTGGCACTAACTTAACTGCCAAATAGAAGGCACCAGGGGAGACTGGTTGCCTCTTGTGTTGCGGGATAATGCTTATTGTTACTGGGTTATTATTTATGGGCTTGCCCTAAGCCAATGTGGTTCTCAAAACTAGCCAAAAACACACATTTTATCTTCTCTGGGTGAACTGGCAAACATATAAAGCATAACATGATATGGTGTTTCAGTTCTGTGGTAAATGGGGAAAAAAAAACAAATATTTCTCTCAGTCACTGTGGGTTGGCAGGAAATGGCTACAGCACCTGGCATTTATGGAATCTCTTTAATTGTCCTTTTCCCAGGAAGCGGAGTTACTTCTACAAGGAGATGATGAAATATGGGTATAAAAGTGGGGTGAAAGAAGTGACAAACATCCATTTGATTTTTTTGTTGAATATTTTCAGCTCTTTGATTGTGACTTTTTTTTTTTACTAATGATCTCAGAAATTGTGCAAACTCCACAGATTGTACATCATAACGGAAGGACAGTTGCAAGGAAGCTAACATGAAAATCAATTTGTACAGCCGGCTTTAGGCTCTCGGTTACAGTGGCATAAAATCAGCCTTAATCCAGGCAGGCTGGCTGTTACTGAAGTCAACGTTTTGTATTTCTAAGAGCTTTGGTGAACTGTATGGTAAATGACATTAAAAGTACAGGATGAGCTCTATGGCCCAGGTGTGTCGCTACTTCCAACCACCAACCACCAACTTGCAGGGCACTTGCAGTCATGCAGTGACATCAGAGAAAGATGTGGAGCAGCTTGCACATGTCAAATGAATGGCTTTGCAGGCTGGCTTGTTGGAGGACCTTATCTACATGTCTCATTCTGTCCACTGCATGTACAGCAGCCTTACAATAACTGGTATTATTCAAAGGTAATTTATTTATGTATTTACAATTAAGTATTTTAAAAGTACATAAAAAAATATGCAGACCTATTAAAAAATAAACTGCTCCTGCTTCGAAACAAAAAAAACTTTTTCTTTGCAACGTCATACAAAAGGCTAGCATTTTTGAGAATTAGTACTTTCTAGGACAAAATGCTAGCTCACTTATACACAGGGTCAGCCACTGTGAAGTTTAAAGAAGAGAGAAATCTTCAATCAATATTAGCAAATTAAAAAGATTCTTACTCTCGGCATCTCCTTCTTCTTCTTCTTCTTCTTCTTTCACATTCTGCTCTTTCCTCTGTTTAATTGCCAGAAGCTCTTTCTTCAGCTGACGTGCCTCCTTACGCAGTTCATCACTGATGAGAGAAAAGTGTTTACATGAGCACAGATCTGGTCATTTAGCAGAATAACTGCAGCACGTCAGGGACATTGCTTACAATTCCAATGTGTTCTAAACCACAGATGCAAACAAACTGAACAGAAAACCATTTTGTTATGTGGAAGGGCTTCCATAAATCAAAATAGCTTGGAAATATAATGGAAACTCTAAAGCCACAAACTGCTAAACGTCTGTCCATGAGGAACAGGGAAGGACAAGACTCCTGACGGCTTTAATTACTCTGGCATGCATACAAAAGCATTAAGGACTACAGAAAGTCGATATTGAAGACGGATCCTACCTTAGCTCATCATGATCTGCAAACATCTTAGTACTTTCACCTGACTATTTCTATAAAACCCTCAGAACAGTGTCAAAATGTTTAGTGTAAATTCAGATGTCTAGGCAACTGTCCAAATGGCTTATTCTATCATCACAATGAATTAAGCTAGGTAAGGGGATAAAATCATAAAGAAACTGTTTTCTCTCAATTTAATATGGTGATGAAAAACCTTGAGCTGAAAAGCCCAAGGCCTACATCAACTAATTGGGAATGACTGCTTTCTCCATGTACTAATGTACCCTTTCTTAAAATATTATGAATACTATTCTTTCAACATCTTTTGAGTCTGTGGTTACCGTTTTTTTTCCCCAATGAGACACGGTAGTTTTTTTAAATCTGTAATTAGTGGTCAACTGCATATCTTTTGTTAGTGGGCAACAGCTGAGATGACTAGAGTTTCTGAGACAGACTGATGAATAGGATTTGGTTAATGAAAAGGGACAGGAGAGATCTTAAGACATGTAAACAGTGGTGTGCACCAGGGATCTGTTTTAGGCCCGTTGTTCCTCCTGATCTACACTAATAATTTACATTAGAAAGCTGAGAAAGTTAGGATAACCATTTTGTACATGTTACAAAAATAGGGTAAATGACATACAGAAGCTGAGCATCCATGTGAAGACAGGTCACATGGATTACTGATTCTGAGGAAACATTAAAGGAATCTGTTTTTTTATGTAGAAGCCTACAGGTTTTTCCCAAAGCCATATGTGGAAGCAAGTGAAAAATGAAACAACTGACAATATGATAATGTGCAATTCCAGGGGTGGCATGGAGGTGCTCAGCATTCCAATTCCAGACCTGGGGTGCTGTCTGTGTGGATTTTGCACTGTATGTTCTCCCAGTTTCACATGGGTCTCCTCCCACAGTCCAAAGACTTACTTGTAGGTTAATTGGCTCCTGGGAAAATCAGTCCTGGTGTGAGTGCGTTTGTGTGTCTTGGTGTTTGTGTGTGCGCCGAGAATGACTGATATCCCCCCTGTCACCTGTTGCTTGCTAGAATAGGCTCTGGTTTAACTAGCAGACCCTGAATTGGATGAAACAGTTTAAAAAAAGGGATGCATGTGCAATTCAAATCAAGGTTTCTTATACTCTGGCTTTCCAATGCTTCCGATGCTTCAAGATCTAATTCAGAACAATTTAATCCGCAGGTGTCATCATAAAACGAAATAGGTATTGGAGTCTTAAAAAGGCATTCCTGATTTCTGAGGACTGTCATATAAAGATAGCTAAAAAGGACTAATTCTCTTCAGTCTAGAATACAGGACATTTAACGCAAGTATTTTAAATCCTCAAAAGACTATTCCAGATTGTAACAAAACAAGGACCTAGTGAAAGTAAAAGAAAATGTGTTAGATTATCCTAATTTTATTTGTATGGACCTTTTAAGACCTGGCATCCATGGTACCATTAGGGTGGTGACGGACAGCTCCTGCTGACGCAGTCAAAGCTTTGCGGCACAAGGGCTCCATTGGAGCTGTGTAATCATACGTCAAAGGACTTTACACAGCAACATGGAAAGGAGGGATGAGAAGTAAAATATCTACAGTATAATGTACATTTAGAGCAACTTCTCTTCTATTTGTGTGTTAACATAGCCTTTGTTGAATACAGCAAAATCTTGAGTATCGCTCTGATTAAGGAACACAGCCAGAATATAAGAGTCTGTCTCAGCATGACACTGCCCTAACTCTGATGCAAGTGAAATCTGCCCTTTAAGCATTAATACGTACTACTGAGAAAGTTGTCCAAGTTTTTTTAATGCGCTTTACCTAAGAAGATAAATAGCATTTGAGAGAAACAGAAGTAAATAAGCAGCTTATGACATCACTAATGACATTTTCAGGGTTGTGAGTGTATATAATGGATTCCTACATCCAAGCTGTAATTCCCAACAATCCAAGTTATACAGATAATTGTGCAATATCCAGGTGGGGCTTAAAATTAACAGTGGAGTATATTCAGCGTGGCAAAAACTATAGTACCTACGTGAATGGACAGACAATGCTATGGTGAGAAGACTGTACTTTGAAACATTCCTCTAGCCCAGCAAAAACAGATATTCTTGTATTCTTTTAACCTGAATATCGTCAGTGTTTCCTCGTTTTGTGTGGTCATTCTTTCACAAGTTCATTTTAATTTCGATCTAAGTGCATCTCAGTTTCCATCCCACCTTGTAAGACAGATATCTATCAGTCATTGGTCCTGCCAGCAAATGGCATTAAATCTGGATCTAACAGTATTTTGACAGTTGACAGGCCTACTGTAGAGCTTTATTCCATGCTGAAAAGAAAAGACACAACTTTTCAGCTGTGGAGCTTTCTTCAGGTGTAGTACCTCTACAGGAGAAACATTGTGTCTCTTTTCTTTTCAGCATGGAATAAACCTTAACTTGTTCCTTTGCAGCCAATGCATGCTGATGCAGCTCCCTACTTGAGCTCCTGTAGAGCTTAGCTAGTTCTCTAATAAAGGTAACAGGAAGGGCACCGATTTCAGACAAGAGAAGAAAGTCATACAGATAAGACAGCAGATCTCTTATGGTGACAGTTGAAACAATCATATCAGCCACTGGAGAAACACCCAACCTCCCATCACAACACCTTAATATTCACCAAGGGCTGTATGAAGAAAAATTCAAATGAAACGGATGTTTATCTAACAGCAGTAGCTAAGAGGAATTCATTCAGCAAATGACCTCTTCCTTTCTTGAAACTGCTAAATCATGGTTTAAAGGGGTCCTAGAATACTTTCAGAATGGGAATTTTGTGATCCGTTGAACACTTTGTGGAGTTCTGTTGCAGAGCTGTAGTGGAATTTGATCAAAACATCTCGAGAGCACTCTGAATCCCAGACTCTCACTCCTCTGCAGTATACAGTCAACAAGCCTTTAGCAGCAGACTGACTTGGTAACCCACCAACACATTTAAAAGATTTTATATCTCACCCCGTGACTGCAGTCTTTTCTGCAGACAATGTTTAAAGAAACTGACAGTAAGACACATGCCTACAACATCAATTGTTTACAGGAGCACCCTTGCGTCCATACTGCTAGTATGGTCAGACATCTGATAAGCATTTACACTGTTACAGGTAGAAAAGATCAGAAAACGTTCAGCATGCTGTTCAGGCATTCTTTGTGGGTGCTTTAATCAAGAGATCAGAGTATGACAGAACAAAATTGTGTTTGTGATGTGGAGATTATCTAAATGGAGAAATAAGATCATGTCACATCATATGTGGTGTATTCTAACCTATGAAGGTATTTAAAAGATGATGAACAGTTGTGTAGCACATATTAGCTGCAGACTTTTTATTTTGGATCATGCCCAGGAGTCAGCATTTACCACTTGTTTCCATGAGTTTATTGTATTACTCAGCAGCTTTTATGACTCAGCAGGATTAACTCACTGAGGGCACAGTGCACCTAAAATGCAAGTAATTGGCCACTAGAATCTGCCACCAAAAGGCCCCAGAGCATTTAGCACCACCCCCTCCTGCACATCTTACAACTGGTCTCAGAATTCCAATCCTCACTGGAGCCCAAAACAGGTCTGAACCTGAAAGGCCTTTAGAAAACATTTCTCGCTCCTTGAATATTTCCTAAAACTGCCCTTTCTGAATCACAGAACAGAATGACACAGGAAATCTGTCCCACCTCCCCAAGACCAACATCTCCCTTGCAGAGGAGTTGTGTTGATAATACTTTACTTTATTATTGTTATTCTTTTTATTCGTGTTAGTTTGAAAAACTGCCATCTGGGAATTAAGTCATGCTTATGGATACCCTGAGAGACAGTAACAGTCTTAAATAAATTAGAACTGCAAACTGTAACTATAGATACAGTCTATACATCAGAATATATGAATAATTAGCCACACATAATGTTTTTTTTAAACCAGGAAATGTCTTGTTCTCATAAAGTATAGACATTATCCCTCATCATAATGCAGAAGAGATTGATTTGGTAACAACTGTAGATACAAATATTGAGAGTCTACATACAGTATTTAGGTTAAAGATAACACTGACATACCAATTTGGTGAGCAAAACAGGTAAAAAAAAAGGAAAAGCAAATGGTACATTTGTATCCTGATATACAGTAATCAGAATTCTTAGGGATTACCTACAGTTTTTTTTTAGATCCCCATTCATTCCAGAATAAAAAAAACTAATTTAAAGGAGAGCAATTCATCAGCTGCACTCTCTTCGTAGAATTTCTTGTCCATTTCACATGCAGCAATCCAGGCTATTTTTGTGAGGTACAAGAAAAAGAAAAAATGCAATCAGCATGAAAGATTAGAATAATTCACATGAAAATCCACTGCCCTGCAAGGAAAATCCAGTGGTTTGCAGGAATACTGACACAAATAATGTGAAAAAATAATGTGCAAAAACATCTGAGCATACACACTACTCTACACATTTCTGAAACACGAGCAGTGCGTTGCCATCAGCTTTCGCAGATTTAGTCCAAATGATCTCCCAGAGTATAACAATGCCATCTGCAGTCTTCTTTTTCCCTGTGTTCATCCCATAACATTTTAATACCACACGGTCACAAGGCTGAGCAGCTCAGTGTAGCAGCTTCAACACAGTTGCTCTACTTTCTGACTGAAGGAATTTATATTCTGT